GTTTCCCATGTGGATGGCTGGGTGCCAGCTCTGTTGCATAACAGGATATTTCAGGGGCAGACGTGTGGTGGTCCTGCCTTTTTGCCTTCAAAGTTTGTTGCTGCCACATTCAAACAGATCTACTTCCTGGGCATCACAAGTCTGGTGGTCATTTATTTGATGCCTGCACATTGACAGCCGCATGGGTCCTCTCCTGAGCAGCATTTTTACAGCTGGGTTTCTTTTTTTCCTAAGCATACAAGTACTGGGGATAAACAATGCTCTCATCATTGAAGTCATTGTCAGCAGTTGACACAAAACAGAGATTATTTGGTCACACTGCTCAGCTTGACCCCATCCCCTTCCCCATGTTACAAAGGTATGTGAGAATAGTGATGAGTGGTGGCAGCAGACGTGAGAGTTGACTGTGAATGTGTTGAAATTCAGAAGAGACGTTATCCATTGAGATCACTGCCAAAGATCACCCTTTTTTTTTGTTGTTGTGGAGAAAGTGCGAGTCCCTGTAAGCAGGAGTTGCCATCCTTATTTGGGATCTAGCTGTCACAGACTCTCTCTTTTGCCAGCCAGGTAGGCATGAGAAGATGATGGACAACAATGTGATTCAGGAGACTGGAGGGATGCTGCGTTGCCAGCAGGAAAGTGCGTGTGGCCGTAACATGGCTCGTCTGGGGAGGTGCATGAAACCCCCCATGCCTATCGCAGTCAATGAAAAGCTATTCCACTATTTTCAAAGGGGGTTCCTCCTCCATGCCCTGGCTGAGCCCCCATCTGTAGGCAATATACTCTGTCACCAGGACTTTTTTAGCTTTTACTTTTGTTACGTAGTTAGGTAGCTAGTAGCTGCCATGTGTCCATTGAACATGGTTTGGCTCTCTGAAGGGCAGATGGAGGTCCATCATGGCCAGGCTAGATATCAGTCTGCTATTATCTGTCATCTGAATTCTGCCTGCTGTATCCTGAGCAGTGTCTTTTCAGCAAAAGCAAGAAGATGGCAGCATAATGGGACCAACGCCCTGAGAGGAGACGGGAGTACATATCTGCTAGCTGTCCAAAGCACCGTGCTTATTGCTGTACAGGCCAAACATGGGAAGAAGCTGCAAACACTGGAGGATGGTGCTATGTGCAGATTCATGCAGGCGCCTGCGCAGATCTTGTAGCCCCAGCAGCCTGTGGTGGCACATAGCCAATATGTGAGCTCAAAGGTAGCTGAACCCTCTGGTTGAGCCTGGCTGCCTGGATGTGCCCATAATAGCAGGGCGGCATTAATTTGTTATCTGATCATTTTCTTCCCTTCAGAAACTGTCTCCTCTTGTGCCTTTCCTCACTGTAGCATGTGCATACTCCCCTCTGCTGCTTGTGGCTATTTCCTGCGCTCAGGTCCAAGGTCTTTTATGCAGGAAAATGTTCCTTGATCCCCGTGCAGCTGCTTGTGGTAAGTTTTTACCTGCATAGTCTCATTTCTCGAGGGCTGAGAGCATCAGTAAGTGCCATTCCTCTGGCGTTGGCTTTCCAGGGAAACAGAAGATTGGGGATAAAAGAAGCTGTTGCCAGATAGTTTCTTCATGCATTGAGGTACGGGGTAAGAAACAATATTTCCCCAAGCTGGATGAGCAGAGCAACTCAGTGAAGGCAAAAAGCCCTGCCGGTTTCTGCTTTGATATTCCTCAAGCCATTCAACAAAGTGACCATGTATGCATGTTAGCACAAGACGGCCAAAGTCAAGGGAAGGCCAAGCTGCCATATGCTGCAGTAAACCACAGCACAGTGCCCCAGGAGGAGCAACCAAGAGAGCCAGTGGAAAAGCTGGCTGGAAATCACTTGGCAGATGCTATATTGCTACGTGGAGCTGCAATTTAGTTTTAAAGCCCACATCACATTATGTGAGTTTTCCAGAGCAATGGATGGCTGTCTGGGGAAAGGAGGTAGGTGGTGTGTGATTTCATTGCTGTGAATGTTTCAGAGCTAAATAAATTATTGTTGCTATACATACGCTGTGGAGGCTAAAAGAGCTGCTGGATGGGGTCTTTGGCAGTGTAGAGATGCCAGCCTGGAGTGAGCAGGAGGGAGGAGGATGTGCAAAGAGGCTGCAGACTCGGGCGAGTGTGTGGGGAGAGCTACTATCACGACTGGAGCAAAGTTGTCCACCTGAGCCTTTGCCCATCTGACCTGTCTCCAGGCAGGCCCTGGCTTGCATCAGACCAACCAGAGCATCCTGGGTGCCTGCCATCATATGAGCAAAAGGCAGAAATGAAAAGCTGAGGCAAACTAACCTCACGTGTGGCAGAGACCTGTGTGCTGTGGGAGAGAATCACCTGCTCGAGTGGTATGGTCTGGCTTCCTTGTGGGGGGCAGGACCTGGTTCTGGAGCCAGAGCATCCTCATGTGGTTTTGGGCCTCTTAAGTCAGGCCCCCAGCCTGGTGCTGTGGGAGGTCTGCGAGATCGAGGCTGCGGAGCAGCTCTGCTGTAGGTCACGGGGCTGCACAATGAAGAAACTTGTGGAAAAGCTCCATGAGGAGCTGTGTTACGTGTTGATGGACTATTGGAGCAGCAGCATAGACAGACGTGATGTAACCCGGCATAAATTCTGCAGGCGCAAGCATAACGCAGCAAACTCTTCCAAACAAATTAGAACTGGTGCAAAGCTTTTCTAGGCCAGATTAGTGGTTTAAATTCTCTGTTCACTGGGGGTTTGATCTGCCGCAGGGAGCACTAAAGGTGGTCTTAGTTTAATGTCAAGCCATAGTTCAAAAGTTCGCTTGAGTATCTTGAAACTTTCATTGATAGCAACGCTGTCTAGTTTTCCAGCTTGAGGTCACTGGCTGTATTTGTGGGTGCAAGCCAACTCTCGGTGAAACGTTCCACAGAAGACAAGTTTCCAAATTTTTTTTACATCCTTCCTTTCTTCTCCCCTATTTGGATCACTCACTGATCCTTTTGAAAATAAGTAACAGGGATGCTAAATAGGGAGTAGAACCAATTTTTATTTTGTTTTTATGTCCGTTTTCTTCTCAGGGTAGTAACAAGTCTTTTCCTATTAACAGTCATTAACCCCTTTAGCACAGAATTCTGATACAGTGGTAAACTACAGCTGAAATAAATTCAAATTCTTGCTTTAAGAGGTTTCTCCTTGTTTGAGGAGGCCGGAGCTGTAATCTCTAACTATAGAGAACTGCTGCTGCCAGGGAAGTGGAGTGCGTTGCTGCACCTAAATGCAGCGAGTTGGTTCCCAGTTACGGTGGCATATAACAAAATGTTTCATAGGAGGGAATGGCAGCCTCTGCCTCGTGTTGGATCCAGTGATGGGATCACAAGGCAGCGTGTCGCCAACTTAAGGCTTCTCTGATGGAGCTGTTTAACAGTTTTGCCCCTTTACAAAAAGCAGAGGAGGTTTGTGCTTTTAGTCCTGAACATGCCAGTCCCAAATTCCACTGGTGGCTTCAGCAGGGTCTGCTTTGTGATACAGCTTACAGTTCCTGAGGCATTTTAAGGCAACACATCTGTGACTGTTTACAAACCTTTGGCTGCCCTGGCGGACTCTGTTTAATGAGCTTAACACAGGTATTTACACAATCATCAGATTTCAGTCTATTATTTTTAAAGCCTGCTTGAATGCTGGTCTGTCCAGATTCACAGTGTTGGCCCTCCTCATGCATTTTCCAACAGCCTGAAATGCTCAGACGGTTGGTAATGGGGCCTCCTACCAGCAGCTGGAGATTGGAAACAGGCACATCTCGGTGACTTCATCCTCTGCAACGAGCACGGGGCTGGAGCCTGTCTTCCGGCATCCCGGCGGGCGCACATCTGCTCCTGACGGCCTGCACCGGGCCCTCTGTTAACCCTTCCCAAGAGATGTAAAAAAGACAAATACGCTTGTCTGGAAAGCTTTCACTCCAAGTGTGGTCATTCTCCCCCTTGGGGTTAGCTGAAACGCTCCGCAGCGCCTGCTGGGCCCAGACCTGCAGCTCTCTTGCACGCTCTGCAGCCGGCTGCATGCCCAGAAGCCCTGTGAGAAAATGTTTGGGATGCATTTGCTTCTCCGTAAGCGCTTTGCTGCCCACCAGGAGGTATTCCTGAAAGAAGAGCCTGGGGACGAAGAGGGGAGCTGGATTAAGCTGCATTTTCCACTCAGAAAAGAGCAGGGGAGCTAAAAACTGCCTTCGTCCCTCATGAAACCACCCTTGTGGCTGGAAACTGTTTGGGGTGAGTAACGACACAGGAGCACGCAGGTCCAGGCTGCCCTCGTTCCTAGAAATAGCTCCTCTCTTCTCTGCTGCCCTGGGAAGTGTTCAGCGTTAGCGGAGCAGCTCCCGAAAGAGCAGCTGCCCGGCACAGCCGGACAGATGCAGAGCCCGGGTGCTCGGGTGCAAGGTCCTCGTGCAGAGGAATTAGCCCGTAGGGAGGGCAGCGTGCTGGGGGGCAGCGCTCCTCCTGCCTCGAGCCCTGCGCCACGCGTGCGGAGGGCATGCAAGCAGGACTGCCTCGAAGCCCTGCGCTGCCTGACGGCTGCGCGTTATCTGCAAGGTTTTTTAAATTCCTACCCTCGCTGCCGCATGAAGGAATCGCGTCGCTGTCCTGCTCTCGGTGAAGGTGAGGTTGGCAGAGTTTCCTTGGCAGATGCTTTGGCTAACGGGTCTCTGGCAACATGTTCTCCTGCAAATATCTGCGTAATTAAAAGCCCAGTGTGATTGCCCGGCCTGAAGGGCCGTAGCACGGAGGAGGCACGTGTGCAGCTGCGCAGGCTGCTCTTGGGTGGCTCTGCGCTGCCAGCACCTTCTCCTCTTTGGGTCCCTTTTCCCCAGCAGCTTTTCTTGCTGGTTCAGTGCCACTGCTCAGGAGTGCAACTGCAAAGTGCCCTGGTGTTAACGGATTTCCTGGATGCCTCCAATGACCGCAGCTGCACGCAGCGTGCTTAAACTACCAAGGAGGGGGGTGCGAGCAGCGAGCCAGGGCTGGCTCGGGGACGCTGCTGCTGGAGACCAGCCCGGTGCGTACAATAGCTATGGCTACAGCCTGGCACGGGGCATCTCGTTCCCGCAGCCGCAGGTTGGACATAGCCTTGGTTGCAAATCCTCCCCCAAGGGAAAAGCAGCCTCCAAAGGCCGCGGGGAGGTGCCTACTTGTTTCATCGCTGGAAATACATCAGGGCAGCCGGACGGGCCCCAGCCTTTCACGGGGGCAGCGGCAGGCTGCTGTCTTGCGAACAACTGCCAGGCGCAGCTCTGGGTTAGCCCCTTCGCGTGCTCCAGGCGGCCCCGCGTTTCGCAGGGTGAGCGTTCGGCTGGGCAACCCCGGGCCGTGCAGCGCCGTCCGCCTCCGCGCCCCGAGCGGGGCAGGTACGGGCATAGGTGCAGAGCAGGAGCTGCTCTGGGCAGTCAGTGGGGACTCTGGCGGGGTTTGTGGGTACAGCTTTGGACCTAAACACTCACTCCTCCACTTTTTGGACTGAATTGAGCGGTGTATACAATCTAAGAGAAAAAAGTTTGTCTCCTTGGACATCTGTGTGATTTCCAAACAGACGGAGGAACTGTGGTTTGGTGTTGCAGCAGAGATACGGTCTGGTGCAGAAAAACCCTACCGTTGCTGCCTTTCTGAGTGAAATGGCTTGATTCTTCCCTCGATGCTGCAAATCAATCACTGCACTGTACTAGCATTTATGGGGTAAAATCTACATATATGTACAGATATATTTGTCATCCAATTATATACATACAGGATTTACTTTGGCCTTTCTACTGGCTCTGCTGTTTTCTGGCACCTGCACGGCCCGTTTGAACTGGTAGGAATAGGAGACTGCTAAATTTTCAGGGGAGCATTTTAATTGTTCCTTTTGTCTGCCTCGAGACAAGAAACTAGAAAGCCCCAAACCTCCCTCTGGGTTTATCTGTAAGAGCTGGCAACCAGCAAAACAATTTTAACTTCTGGGGTTTTTTGACAAGTCCTGCAAAATGAACTATGGGGATCCGAGGACTTTCAAAGCGCTGCCATGAACTCGCCAAACACGTGCACGTCATCGCTCCGGAGTTTAGATGAGAGAAATTCCCATGTCCTCACTGCCCTCCTTTGGGCCGATGACAGCTCCATCCTGGAAGGAGGTGAACACCAACTCGGGCAGGAGCTAGCCAATCCCATTTTTAGCTCTCATCCAAAAGTAAGCATGTAAAATAGGCCCGGTGACTGACGCCTTAAGCGGCTCTTTTTCTCACGGGAGCTAGCTGGGCTGCGGGGGTCTGTAGACATCTGCAGTCAGGCGTTTCTCTGTGTCCCGGTGTCCTAGCCCCAGGCAAACACGAAGGAAAAAGCTATTCCCGGGTTACAGAGGTAACAGGCAAAGCGTAAGAGCAGGGGTAGAAAACATGGCTCACTTCAAAGGCACTTGCAAAATGGTTTTAGAGGATGTGGGGGCTTTTCTGGTCTGCTAAGTTGGTGAGGAAAATAAAGT